GCAGGCGGGGCGTCACGGCGGAGCCCCCCCCCCCGGCGCTCCCCCCCCCCAGCCGCCCCCGCCCGCCCGGCGCTCACCCAGCACGGAGTTCTCCTCCGAGTAGCCGCGGCGGCAGTCGAGGCGCAGGAGGGTCCCGAGGTTGAAGTCCTCCACCGCCCCCTCGAACTGCAGGCAGAAGGGGCGCCACTTCTGGGGGGGGGGAGGGAGGGAGGGAGCGGTGAGACACCCCCCGCCGCCCCCCCCCCCCCCCCTCCCCCCCCCCCCCCCCGCACCTCTTTGGCCGGCTCCGACTTGAGCGCCTCCACGTCCAGCAGGTCGACGCGCAGGTCCGGGAAGCTCCGGCGGAAGGCGGCGTAGATCCGGTCGTCGGCCCGGGTGAGCCTCAGCCCCGCGGGGTCAGCGGCCGAGAGCAGCTGCGGGGGAGCCGGGAGGGTCAGCGGGGGCGTCGGCCGGACCCCCCCCCCGCCGCCCCGGGGACCCCCCGCCCTGCCCGGACTCACGTGGAAGTAGACTTGGGCGTGCTGGAAGGCGCGCTCGGCCCAGGCCGCCTCCAGCCGCGGCTGCCGGAGGGAAGGAGAGCCGTCAGCGCGGAGCCCGAGCCCCCCGCCGCCCGCCGCCCGCCGCCCGCCGCCCGGCACTCACGTCGTTCCCGAAGGCCTCGGCCGGCAGCGAGAGCGCGTGGGCCGCCTCGGCCGCTTCCCGGGCGCCCTGCGGGGAGAGAGGAGGAGAGGCGGTGAGGCGGCGCCCGTCGGCCCCGGAGCCCTCGCCCGCAGCCCCGCTCGCGGCCCCCGCTCACCAGCGCGCCCGGGCCCGTCGCCGCCGCCATGCCGGCCTCGCAGCTCCGGGGAGGAGGAGGAGGAGGAGGCCGAGGCCGGAAGGGGAGCGCCGGGCCCGCCCCGCGGAGGCCCCGCCTGCCTGGGACCCCCGGCCCTCCTCCGGGGGAAAGCGCGCCGCCCCGGCCTCCTCTTCCCGGCCGGAAGGACCCGGCGCGGCCCTCGGCCCCGCTTCTCTCTCGGCAGCGCCCCCCTGACGATGATTGATGCTGTCTTAAAGCTGAGCTCTGCGCCCGGCAGCCTTCCTGGTCCGTGAGGCCCTGCCTGGTGGGGAGGCAGGCGTGGAGGAAGGTGACAGGAGAAGGGAACCCCAGAGGTCTTCTAGTCCAACCCCAGTCCAATGGCTGCCCCCTCTAACCTCCAGCCATGGAGCAAAGCCAACTCCCAGAGGCAACCTGTCCAACTGATTCCTTGTTCTGACTGTTGGAAAAGTCCTCTTTACTTCTAGGCTGGCTCTCTCTTCAACCAATTTCATGCGTGCCCCCATGTGCCTTGGAGCATAACTCTTCTCTGTGGGAGAGAAAGAAGAGCAGCCAGGATGATCAGAGGCCTGGAGACCAAAACATACCAAGAGCGGATGCAGGATTTGGGTCTGGCTGGCCTGGAGCAAAGAAGGACCAGGGGTGACAGGATTGCAGGGTTCCAGTATTTGAGGGGCTGCCCCAAAGAGGAGGGGGCTCAGCACCTGAAGGCCAGACAAGAAACAAGGGATGGAAACTAACCAAGTACGGAAGCAGCCTGGAATGGAGGAGAAACTTCCTCACAACCGGGAAGACAATGAACCAGGGCCACCAAAGTTGCCTCCAGAAATCGTGGGGGCTCCATCACTGGAGACGGGACAGTCACTGGTCTGAAATGACCCAGGATCTCCTGCTTGAGCAGGGGGCTGGACTGGCACTAGAAGACCTCCAAGGTCCCTTCCAGGTCCCTTCTGGTTAGCACTGTTCTTCATATGTTTTAGCCTCCAGCCCCTTCATCATCTAATGCACTGACTTGACCTTCTCAAGCCACTTTTGGTCTGTCAGAAAGAGCAAAGCATCTTGAGTGATCTTTTAGAAAACCCCAAAATCACTGGGGTGAAGAAATGCAGTGGACGTAGTATGCCTGGGCAGCCCTACCACAGTCCTGCTGTAGAAGGTGGTAGAAGACGGGCCATGCTGGGCTATATCAGATGGCTACACAGGCGACTGAATCATCGTGCCCAAATGGCGTCAACAGCCCACCGATACTCCATATATTTATATATTGTTTCAATAATATGTTTAAAAATAAAACAAACAACTTTCAAAGAAAATATGGGGAAAATAACAAATACCTTAGAGATTTAGAAGGATGTTAATGATTTGGAGCACAGAATTTCAGCCAGATCGTAGACAAACCCTACATTTGAGAAGGATAAACTGAAGGTGTGACCTTAGATGCAGGGAATAGTCACCCTGGACACTCCTGGACTCATCCCTGCGGTTTCCTTGCCAAGATTTCAGAAGTGGCTTGCACTGTCTCCCTCCTAGGGCTGAGAGAATGTGAGTGGCTGAGAGGGCTTTGTGCATAAGGAAGACAAGAGTAGCATTTACAAAAAGGTTAGGATCACAGACTCAAGAAGGATTGGCTGCAAAAGAAAAACGTATCTTCAATAAAGACAAGATCAAAGGAAATTATTGTTCTCCCTGTGCATGTCAGTCCACATATAGAATATATGTCCAGCACTGGGCGCTATATATTGGGGGGACACTGACCAACTGGAATGAAAAATGATTGGGGAACCTGGGTATATTTATCCTTGAGATGATCACAAGATAGCTATCTTCAAGAAGCTAAAGGGTTGCCATATGGAAGATGGGGTTGAATCACTGTTCCAGAAGCTAGGGCAAGAAATAAGTTTATTACAGTATATAGTACATTTCGTTATATTATCCTTCAGGAAAAGTGTCTTAATATTAAGAGTTGTTCACCAATGCAACAGACTCCAGGGGGGGGGGGGGGCTCTCCTTGCTGGAAGAGAAGTTGCATGACCATCTGTCGACATGCCCTAATACTCTCCTCCTTGAATACATTTGGGTTAATAGAAAAGGGGAAAAAGAATGACTGTGGTAAGTATGTACTATAGGCAACTCAACTAAGCAGAGGAAATAGATGAACCTTTTGCTAAATAGTTAACTGAAGAAAACACACCATTGAAGTAATGGGGAACTTTAACTGCCCTGACATCAACTGGGAGACAAACTCTGCACTTAGAGGGAGATCAAACAGGTTGCTTATGAACATAGCTGACAACTTTGTCATCCAAAAGGTAGAGGAAGGAACTAGAGGGGCAGATTTAATTTTTACTAACAGATGAAATAAAAGAAGAGGTTAAAGTTATGGGACCTTTGTGCAAGAATGACCACATCATCATATTGGAATTCATAATGCAAACACAAGCAATAGAACATAATCCAACCAGTGTCTTAAATTTTAAAAGAACTCTTTTTAACAAACTCAAAGAGCCTAGGAAAGATTCCACAGATGAAAATCCTAAAGAGTATAAACAAGAAGCATGGGAAACTCTGAAAAATGTGATCATAAAAGCTCAGTCCAGCACAACACCACTGAAAAAGAAAAACAACAAATCCAAGAAGAAACCTGTATGATTGCACACAAAAAATTATGATAAACTGAAAGATAAAAAGGACAAGTATAAAAAAAAATAGAAAGGTGGAATACCAGCACATCACTTGAACCTGCAAAGATGGTCGGGAAAACCAAGGCTCAGAATGAGCTAAGACTTGCAACAAATTTAAAAAATAATTTTAAAAAGTTTATTTCAACATTAAAAAAAAATAAGAAAAAGTCAAGGAAACAATCCACTAATGGAAGATGGCAAAGAAGTGATGGACAGCAGGGAGAAAGAAAAACTGCTCAACTCCTTTGTCTTTACACAAAAGGTGGTGGTGGGGGTGTGAACTGGTCCAACCATCTTTGTAGCAGCCTGGGCCACATGCTGATATTGTGTCTTGGTTATTTTTATACTTGTTTTTTTCTGTCTTTTGTGTTTTGTTATTAGAGAGTTCTTTATGCAACCATGCTGGTATCTTCTGGCATCTCTTTATTTTTCAGTGTTACTGTTCAAAACAGGACTTTTATAATCTCATTTCTCAGTTTCCCAAACTTTTTGAGTTATTTTTCCCTTTAAGGTTTTAACCCACAGAATCCTTCCCAAACTCTATAAATAGGTTGAAATGAACTCTCTTAAAAGTCTAAGACACTATTTGATTTTGTTCTATTGCTTCTGTCTGCATTATATCCAATTCCAGTATGACATGTCACTCTCCCACGCAAAGTTGCTAGCACTTCAACCCCTCCCATCACTTCTTCTCTGGTAGTAAGATCTGGGTCCAGGATATCTGACCCTCCAGTTCCCCCCTCTAACCTTTGGGTCACAAAGCTCCAACTAGGCTCACTTGGATCTCCGACGGGTATCAAGTCCGGCGTTACTATTTCCCTTATGGTATAGCAGAATAACCGAGTCGGGTGGGACCTTGGAGGTCTTCTAGTCCAACCCCAGCTGAAGCAGGAGGCTCCAGTCCATTCCCGACAAGGGGCTGCCCAGGCCCTTCTTCTTCCAAGCCTCCGGCGGCGGCGCAGCCCCCTCGGTTCTTGGCCTCCCTCCTCCGCGGCTCCGGGCGCTGCCTTCGGGCGCTTTGGCGGGCTGGAGCCCCTCGCGGGACGCTCTTCGGTCGGCATCCCGTCCAGAGAGCCTGAGGTTCTCCTCCCGGCTCCGGCCCAACCGCTGCGCTGCCTCCGCTGCCTCTTCACGCCCCGCCGGGACAGCGGCGGACAGCAGAAGCGGCGCGGCTCTCGCGACCTCCCGGCCCGAAAGGGGGCAACGCCCAGACGCCGCCCCTCGCCGAGGGTCCCGGGCCGAGGCCCTCCGGGCTGCGAGGGAGGCGCCCTCTGCCCGCCGCGGCGCTTGCAGGGGGGGCCGGGCGGGCGCGCGCGGGGCTGAGCTTTTCTGGGCGGCGCCCGGTCGGGAGCGGCGCTGGGAGGGGGGGGGCGAGGCGCGCGTCCATTGGGGGCCCTGAGCGCCCCCTCGCCGCCCAGCCGAGCCCCGCCCGATTCTGCGCCCGGCCAATGAGCGGCGGCGGCGGCGGGGCTCGGGCGCAGGTTGCCGGGGGCGACGGCATCTGCTCAGCCGCGGAGGTGACGGGCGCGGCGGCGGCGGGGAAGAGATGCTGGCCGCGGGGCGGATGGCGCCCCCAGGACGGAGCGGCTCCAGTGAAGGTAGGCCCGGAGGCGGAGGGGGGCACCGGGGCGACTTGGGGCGAGAGGCAGGTCTCCTCCGGCGCCGCTTCGCTCCAGCTCTCCGATTGCGGCGCTGCGCCCCGCGAGGGAGGCGCTGCGGGCGCGGGGCAGCTGGTCCGCCTTCCGCGGGGGAACCGGGGCCGGGGAAGCGGCGCTCGGGGCGGGTCCGGGGCCTGGGCGAACCGGGGGCCTGCGGGCTGTCGGCGGCCGACGGGCAGGGAGGCTGGGAGGGGCGGCGGGGGCGGCGGGGCTGCGGCCGGAGAGATGCCCGCCCTCCGCCTCGCCCGGCGCGCCCAGTCCTGCTTCGTCACGGCGCGGCTCGTCTCCCCTCCGCCCGGCCAGGCCGCCCAGGCGCGGAGCCGCAGGGGGCGGGCAGAGGGAGCGGCTTTCCCCCGCTGTGCGGCGCCTCCCGTCCCCGCCGGTAAGGGGGCCCTGGGCGGGAGGCGGTGGCGGGGAGGCGGGCGGCTCCTGCGGGCGGGAAGTGGCGCCGCTGCACCTGCCGGCCTCCCCGACTCCCCGGGAGAAGGACCCGCGGCCGACCGGAGGGTCTGGCAGCCGCGCTCGGTGGGCGTCTGCGGGGGGGCCCTCCGCGGAGGAGGCTCCGAGCCGGTCGGGGGCCGCTCTCCGCTGCGGGGGCCGGAGACCCTTGGCGGCCCTTGCCCGCCCTGGCGCTGCGCCCTTCGGCCTCCGCAGCCGGACGAGGCTGGGGGCCGGGCGGGGCAAGAGGGGCGCGCTCTTCAGGCGGCGGTCCGGGCCCAGCTGGGAGAGCCCCGGGCAGCCCCCGCCTCCTTCGGGCCCAGCCCGGCCGCCCCTGCCCGGCGCCTCGCCCGGCGCGCTTCCCGGCGAGGGGAAGGTGGCGGCGGCCGAAGCGCGCATGCGCCTGTCTTGCTCGCCGGCTGCGCCGCTCCAGTTGCCCGCTCGGCTCCGGCCGCCGTTGTGTCGTCGTCCCCTCCCCCCCGCCCGGGCGTTGCCGGCGAGGCGACCCCAACGGAGCTGCTTCTGGATGGTTGCCGCGGAGGGCAAGCTGGCCTCCCCGCTTGGCTGCTGCCAGGCCCCCGTTGGCCCCGCGGCAGGCGGGCAGGGCAGGCAGGCCTTCCGCCCCTGAGGATTCCGCCCTGGAGGCTCCCTCTCTCGGGGGGGGGGGGTAAGGGGGAGCCCGGCCTGCCAGTCCCCCGATCAGCTCCCGCGGCTGAACCCCGAGGTTTCATGGCTGCCTTCTCCTTGTCTGTTGGGTTGGGGGCAAGAGGAGCTCCGAGAGCTTCAGTCTGTCCCAAGCGTGGCCTGAACCTGGGAATGGGTTGGGGGCCTTTCCTGGAGGCTGGGGGAGCTGCTGGGCAGGAAGAGGCTGATCCGTGGGCCCTCCCCCAGCTGGAGTGGGGGGCCAAGCAGGCTGCGCCAGGGCCCGTTCCTGGGGGGAAGGGAGGCACGTTAGATTTTCAGAGGAAATAAAAGTAGGTCAGATAATTTGAAAAATGAAAACCATCTTGGTAGGAAATGAAAATCCAATACAGCACAGAGGCTACTCTGCCTTGGGGACAGCTCCTTCGAGAGTGGGTTGCACACCCATGTAGCTCCCTTCCAGCTCTTAAAAGAAATGTCAGACCTGCTTTCTCTTGTCTTAGAGTGAAAGAAGCAGAATAGTACATTTATGTGACAGAATTATAGGGTGCAGTGGAATGTCAGGGGGACAAAAATGCATCCATGAGAAAGCAAAGCCCCTTCCAGCAAAACCTACAAGACTGAAGTGCTTCGGAAATGGGTGTTTCTCTAGTGATGTTTCTACCAAAACAACCTATCGCCACTGCACCCATCATGGCTTATTGGCACACGGTGTGCTGAGCCCTGGAGCCAAGCCCAGAGCCCCCCCCTCCCCCATGGCCATTCTGGATCCCTTGGCTGGATCCAGAAAGAAAGATTCTTGCTGAAGGAGGTTGGTCCTTGTCACCATTGGCCGTTCTGCCATTTGTCAGCTCTGGAAGTTCACAGGGAATAATCCCACAGAGGAGGGAAGATTCGGGAGACAACAGAAGACGAGAAACTCTCACCCCCAATCAATGCAGAGAAGCTTCTATCCCACTGATTCTGGGCAACTCTACTATCAGGAAGTCAGGCTTGCAGGCCCAAAGAAATAATAGCTAGGTTCTTGTTTGCAAGAGGTCAGTTGGAGCAGACGGCCACCTGTCCCTCCCATCTCTTGGGCCCAAGCAAAAAGCTTCCGTTTCTCATAGGAACCAGGATGGATTTGCTGCCATTAAAACGTCCTTTAAGTCTCTCTGCCCAAACCCCAATTGGAGAGAGATTTTTCCACACTCCCAGAGCAAGTACCACAATGCCACAATGAAAGTGCATAAAATAAAAGTACATTTTATTTTTATGCTTTATGTCACATTTAGCATCTAAATTCTAAAAGCGTTTAGAATACATTACTAGACACCTGCTTGCCCAGACAAAATGTGTTTATGGCAAGAGAAGAGGTAAAGGGGTTTTCCCTTCACCTGGGTAGCTTCAGATGACTCAAGGGGAGATGGAAGAACTCCAAGGCCCACAAAGATCACACGGAGGGGAAGTAAGGAGAGGATTCACATGAATTGCAGGCCTCAAAGCCCCCACATACTTCTGGGGGCCCCCATCAGATCCCTCCGAAGAAGAGATTCCTCAGCACGATCATCCACCCTCTTCAGACTACATGCAGGCCCCACCCGGGAGTGGGGGGCTGTTCACAGAAGACCCCCAAGGAAAAGAGAGGTGCTTTCTTGGCCCCCCTATTGTTTCAGGGGACTTAAGGGATGCAAGACCCCTGCAGCCTTGCCCGCTCCCTCTCTCCACCATCTAACCGGGGTGCTCAGGGCCACTCGGCCTCTCCGTTTCCCCTTTGGCAGGGGCTGGATCACAGGCAGCCCAGCCCAGCAGCAACTGCTCCCCGAGGCTCTTCCAGATGCAGCCACAGAAAGGGAATTCTTCAGCCGTGGGGCCGGCAAAAGAGGCCCTGGTTGTCCGGGCCGACTAGGTTTACGCCACACTCAGGGAGAGGCATCCCGGGACTGTGCGCAGTTGCACCATCTGCAGTGGAACCCTGAAACCTGTTGTCACTGGAAATAGATTTCTGGTTTCTTCTCCAAGGACATTGTCCCTGTGTTTCAAGTTGTGCAAATTAAAGCCGATCTGAGAAACGCAGAAGAGGCTGGGAGAGCATCGTAGTAGCCAGGGTGGCAACGAAAGGAAGTCCAGGCCTGGCCAGTGAATTTCTTCTTGGGTTTGGCCTTCCCAATGGTCTTCTCTGCAGGGATGAAGAGCCACCTGGGAGGGAAATGCCTGGCATCTGCAGCACAGGGAGGAGATGGCTGGCTGGAGCATTTATGCCTCTCTTGGTCTCTTCTCATCTTGGGGACTGTTTCGGCCTCGCTTGCACTCTGTCTTGGAAAGGCGACAGGCAGGCGATGCCCTCCGCCCCCCCCCCCCCTTGGCGGCTCTTCCTTGTCTGCCTGCATGGCAGCTTCCAGGGGGGAACTGCAGAGGATCTCCTGGACTCGGCTGGACTGAGGAAGCAGCCGGGTCCCAGGGCGGCCTCCGCAGTCCCTCGTCCATCCCTTGGGACAAGTCCTGGTTCCTTTGCGCTGCCTCGGGGCCAGGAAGGGAGGCGGCTTCCCCTGGGGCCAAAGGGAAGGAGGGGCTGGGCTGAGGCCAGAAGCTGCTGGGCGCGACCTTCATGGAAAGGGGGGCGGGCGGGCCGCGGGACCCCCGTCCTGGCACAGAAAAACCCGCCTGCCTAGAATGAAAATGGGGGCCCGGCGGCTGCTCGGCCGGTTTGAAAGCCCAAGTGGGGCCGCTGACTGGCCGGGAGGGAGGCCGGGAGGGAGGGAAGGGGGCCGGCCGAGGCTCCAGCTGCCTTTGGCCCGCCGTCAAGCGCCCTTCCTCCCCGCGGGGCCCGAGGGGGCGCCGGGCCGGGCCGGCAGGGAGGGGCCGCTGCCCGCCGCAGGCAGCTTCTTCGCCCGGCGGCTCGTGGGAGGCGGCCCCGCTTCTTCCGCGCCCAGCCCGCGAGCGAGGAGCGGGCCGCCCCGGAGCGCGCTGCCTTCCCTCGGTCCCGCCGGGCTCCTCGGAGGCTCTGCAGGCGGCGGGGCGCCCTTATCTGCGCGCTCCAGGCGGGCCGGGCCGGAGGGGCCGCTGCGGCGGCTGAGGCGGGCGGGGCCCCGCTGGCCGCTGCCGATAACCGAGAAGGAGCGGGCGCTGCGCCTCCGCCCGGACTGCCGGCTCGGGCCCCGGGGAGCTTCGCCGCGGAGGAGGCGCTTGCAGCGGCCTGGCTCGCTCGCCCGCCCGAGAGCCTGCTCGGGTGCCGGGGGCTCTTGGGCCGGGGCTGCCCCGAGGCTGACCTGCCCCGGCAGCTGCTGCTGTGGCGCTCGGCTTGTCCTGCCGCCTCGCGTGAGTCTGGCCCGGTTTCCCGGGGGCGGGAGGGCCGCTGAGGGGGCTGCTCTGCCCGGCTTGGTTTTCGTCGGGGGCGCCGGGACTCTGCGGGGAGTTGGCAGCCGAGGCCTTCAACGGGGAACCCGGCCGCCCCTCGGAGCCCCGCTGGTTTCCAGGCTCTTGGGCGATGGGTCCCAAGGGCGGCGGGGTCTGCCGAGCCTTGTGCTGGCAAGAGGAGCGGGGGGGGGGGGCTGCCCCTGCCAGGATCTCCAGAAAACGGGGGAGGCCAAAGCCAAGCCTGGCGGTCTTTGGGCTGCCAAGCCCGCCCCCTGGCAGAATGCCAAGCCCGCCCCTCCTCCAGCCACTGGCCGTCCGTGGGGGCCGGCTCCCCCAAGCCCTGGGCAGCCGGGCTGCAGCGTCTCCAGACCCTCCCAAGTTCAGGGTTTAAGGGGGGCACCAACCCCGGAAGGGTGGAAAGTCAACTTTTTGTGTCAGCTTCTGGTACAGCCTTAACTCCAGGTGCCAAAATTAGTGGGGGGGGGTACCCCACCCCCCCGTGGCAAAAGCAAATCCTCTTGGCTTGATGCAGCCCTGAACAGCCGGCCCTCCTGCAGCGGAGGGGATGTGTGTGGTCTGCCCCACCTAATTAACCCCACAAAAACGACTTTATTTGGATCCTGGCCTGCCCTGCTGCCAAAGGGCAGGTGCATTCCTCGCTTTAAAGTATTTATGTAACGGAACACATTTCTGAAGCTCTGAGTGGCTAATAAAAATAAGAAGGCAGAAGAAAACAATCCATGAAAGGTTGTTGTTACCTGAAGGACCCTGGGGGGCAAATGTAGGGCTGGAGGCTGATGCAGAGAGCGACCCTTTGAGCAGCCCTGACCAGGCACACCCACCTTCACGCAGACCCTGCCTGCAAAGGGAGTTCTGTTGTCGCTGCAGCACTTGCTGGTCCAGGGGCTGCAGTGGGGAAGAGGGAACATCTAAATGGCCACCTGTTGCCCCTCTCCAGGGCCCCCGCAGGAGGCATCGGCTGCCAGCCAAGCCCTCCGGAGGACAAAGCGGCTCCTCCCTGCAGGCCAGCCGCCCAGCCATCTGCGCTGTGGAAAATGTGAGCTCAGGGTTGCCCAGCCAGAGAATGCCGCCTTATCTGCTGCCCTTCGTGTTCCCTGCGGCACCCAGAGCAGGCTCTGAGGCTGGGGGGGAGGGGGGCCCCTCAGAGGAGCAGAATCCCCCTCTGTTCTGCCTGGACTTCGGCTGCACCCCAGAGATCAGCCCCATGACACCCCAACTGCAGCAGAGGCCCTCCAGTGCTCCGCCAAGGCTGCCTTTGAGGGCCCCTCCCCAGCAGGCTTTGGAGACAGGCAGGCAGGCGGGGGGGGGGGGCTTTCGCTCGCCCCCGCTTCCGTTATTTAGCCTCTGGGAAGTGCAGAGATGGACGCGATCCCTGGTGCAAGTGGTTCAGCACCCAAATG